AAAGACACAAAATAGAACCACGAACCCGACTTGTCTAGGTTGGTAGGTGATGCGCCGTTCTCCCTCTCCAAGGGATCTCTCTCTGATCTCTCAAGCTCGCACAAGAACTCATGCAAGGAAGAAATTTTAATCAATCATTCATTAACTTTAAAAGAGAACAAGGATGGCTATATAAAGCCTCATACAAAGGACTCAAAGACAAAAGACAACAATTCCCCTAGGGCTTACATATGACATCCCTTAATAGAAGGGTACAACGGAAAACTAAATAAAGCAAATAAAATGTGACAACATAAATAAGAAAATACATAGAATAAATAAAAAATACAATGACTCAATCGTGGCCGTAAATCGGCGGCCATGTCTCTGATAGACCTTCCATGATCTGATGTCCCCATCAATAATGAAGGTTGTCTTCTCTTCTACCATGAAGGTTTTCTATTGTAATTTTAGAATTTTCTATGGCCTGTGTTCTTCTTTAGAGAATTACATGTTCATCCAAAGAATTCACAATAATAGTAGTTTAAATCAAAGGTTTAAGCTCTAGTTTTATTGAGGTTTTTAGAGATTATTAGATGAGATTATGGAAGTTTTCTGCTCATATGTATGTTAATCACTTTCTGTGAGAGTTGGCTGTTGTTCTTAGAAATAGTTTTTAAGGGAGAGTTAGGAATAATCAAAGTTAGATCCTACTTGTTCGAATTCGATGACCTCTCTGCCTACAGTGTTTTTGCAATTTCTCATTATTCTCATGATATAATACATATAATATTGAATAAAAAATTATATAATTATTATGATATAAAAATATAATTTAGATAGAATAATAAAACTTGTATTCAATATATTACAAATTATATTATATGAAATAAATAATTTATCTTTTAATGCACTGTAAATTATTGATTTTAATATATTACTTAATATAATTAATAATTTATGCATTGAATATTATTATTAGATATATAAATTTAATATATATTCTAATATATTTTGTTTTAAATTATTTTATCTGTTTGTCAGTATGAATTTATATGTGTTTGTCAGTTTGTGCATGTTCAATTATCACTATAATTCTATAAACTTTTTTAACATTTTAGATGACTATGTAAGTAACTTCGATGTGTATAAGCTTAAATTTAAGAAATTGAAAATTGAACCAATCAATTTCCTAGGAGGTTGCTACTTCCTTTGTCAACAAAATCACTAAATAACTAAAGTGGACACTTCCCCTATTTCTTACTTCCTACTTTCCACTTCTGACTTGCTTAAAAAAAAAACCTTAAGCTAGTACTTGCAAAATCATCCAAGGTTAAGGTCGTTACTTAGCGACCTTAAGTCGAGTCTATCTTCGAAGTATGTAGCTATCATGGAATTTGTGATCTTCTACCGAAGATTTTATCAAGTGTTTTAGCTGTACATGACACCAGTTTCAAATATCTTTACATAAGGATAGTTGTAATAGCATTAATTGATTGTTGAATCTTCTGAATATATGAAAGTCAGGATGACAAAAACGTCTCTAAAGTGGGCATAAGAGGCACTTTAAGTTTAGAAAATCTCCCTTAGCACACTTAAGTGAAAGTCTTTGGGTGGCTAAGTGAAGTTACTCCATTATCATAAGGAGTTCTATGTTGTCGCTCAAATCCTTAGATTTTGGCATTACTTTTTTTGTTTTTTTGCTACAAAAGTTTGTTATTTTCATCAGCCACAATGCACTCTTTTATTTGTAATTACAAAATAAAATAGGTGTATGACATGGCAAGTGCAATACTTTTTGCTAAGATTATAATTTGGTCTTCAACATCATCAACATTTAAAATAGCCTGTTGACACATTTAATAGAATGCATGCTTTTCACTCACATATTAGAGTGGAAAATAAATTGATCGATGTGCTTAACAAAATACATTCTTTTTTCATCATGGTATGAGTGTACCAAAATTTAAGTGACCTAAAGAAGAATATCTCACACGCCAAATTTATGCATCCCTCACATACAAATTGGAGGTACAGTGGACCCGTTGAAAGTGATAAGACAACCACTTATGATGATGATGAATTTCACTACCCATCACTCAAAAAAGATGTCTCTAGAATTATAGTTTAGTGTAAAATGAGTCTATTTGTGATGGATCTTAAGTTGAGAACATTGTTATACGCTGTAAAGAAGGGTCTTAAGCCATGGTGTTATTCACTCTCAAACCTACTAAGCAACTTGAAAAGATATTTGTCCTGGCTCATCTAAGAACATTGTTATAGGTTGAGAAATTTTAAAAGGTGCCTTACTCTCATCCCCTACTCCGAAAAATGTTGATGCCTCCCATCTACCCAAGCTGATGTTTGAGGAGATTGTCCAACTTCATGAATTTGCCACTTCTATAATGCTAGGCCCCAACATGAGATTTGTGATTTATATTAGAAAGGCCCTTCTGAGGCTTTTTGGTACCAATTTTAAGTTCCTAGATTAACTGGCAAATTGAAGTAACCAATAGAAGTCAAGAAATCTCCTTATGTGCCTTCTTGGAGATGGCTTAGGGAATTAGAACCTAGCAGTGCTTATCTTTGAGTTTGTCTATAATTGTTCCCCTTGTGAGATGTTATGTGGCATGCTGTGCAGAAGTCCTGTAGATCCTATTATATTATCCCTATATTTCTTTTCATCACTACATTCGCTGAATGTAGTCATAAGTTGATGCAAGCATTAGCTACATTTCGTAAAACACAATGAATGTTATAAAACCATAAAAGACACTTATAGATGGGTTTGGGACTGTAATGAAGGACATAATGTTTAACTTGTAATCATTCCAAACACGTTTTTAGGCATTCCTGCAAGAAATCCATCGAAAAGCCTCATGAACATAAAAATTCTTGAAAAGCATAGACTTGGTACTTGAGTTGCTAACTAACATGAACATTAGTTCTGCTTTAATTCTAAAGATTTATTCACTTAATGGGGTACCTTTTAGCCTCCAGGTAATCCTATAGTTATTTTCTCGTATGAAATTTTTGCATCTTCTAGAATAATGCCTGAGTACCGTATTATTGTTCAACCATCAATAGTTATTCAGACAAGCACTGACGAGGTTGTAAATTCACTCTTCAATCCAACATTGATTTTGACATGAACGTTCTTGCTAGGAGGGTATGATTACAATTTTGAATTCTAGCTGCAGTTAAAGGAGTCTATGAGAAAACTAGGTCTTAGAGTATACCTGGAAAGAGGGAGTAATTTGATGAATTTGGACATCGAGAACTCATGAAGATTGAGCCCCATTAATGTATATAAGATAAGATCTTGGTGGCAATTGTAGGGAGACCAAAAGATATTGATGAAATCATGTTAATTTGAAGAAATTGAGTCAGGAGTGAATAGCGGTCAAGGGGGTATTCTTGTTTCTCCTGAGTAGATTGTTTGCTTGGGATTTCCGTAATTACTTTGGCATTAATCAGGCTTCTTAGTTGATACTCTATGTCATTTTCGTCATCTCTATCTTGTGCTTGGATACTTTTGTCATTTCTCTGGCTCATATTGTGATTCTGAGCAGCTCATATGAGACTTCTTTTGATTGACTTACACGTTTATAGAGATTAACATCAGCCCTCAGAGACACTTTTGGACATCCTAGATGATACATTAGAGACACTTTTGCCTTTCACTGACACTGGCATCCAATGATGAGATTAGTGTATTAGCCCTTGAAGAGTACTTCCATGTTAACACTTCGAAGAGCTGCTGAAAGAGCTCTTGGGAACGATTTCCTATCATGTGCCTTAACATCCCTAACTTAAAATAGGAGCATGTGACAGTCTATTGTCCTTTTGCAGTCAATGCCTCGTATTGCATCGCAAGTCCGCATTATCTCTGTATCATAGTGTAATGCACCTTAAATTTGAAAGATTTATGTAGCTAAAAGGAAGGAAAAATAACCTCAATTGGAATAAACTTGAGCTCAAAACTTTATTACACATTTTGAAATTTGTTTAAGCACAATACCCTCTTGTTTCTATTCTATCCATCATGAAGTTTTCAAAGTTCTGGTTGAATACTCTTTTTGAGCTTTTTGATTGTGAAGTCAAACTCGTCCAAGTACTTCTATTTGTTATTTTATTGTGCCTTAGCTCCCCTCATTTTCTTCTTTTGCCAAATGATTTTTTCCTAGCATAAAATATGGCATATTGTTCTTTTGCAGTTGGAAGTCCACCTACTGTATTGCAAGACCCCATTTTCTCTGTATCATACTAAAATGCACCTTGAATTTTGCAAGTTTTATCAAGCTAAAGGCAGGAAAAATAAGCTCAGTTGGAACCAACTTGAACTCAAAACTTCATTACACGTTTTGAAGTTTATCAAGCACAATAACCTCCTGTTTCTATCATGGTTCTATCCATCATGAAGTTTTCAAAGTTCTGGTTAAATACTCTTTTTGAGCTTTTTGATTGTAGAAGTCAAACACGCAAGTACTATTCATTGTTTTATTGCCCGTTAGCTCCCCTCATTTTCATCTTTTGTCAAATGATTTTTTCCTAGCATAAAATATGATCATATGACATTGGCCTATTGTTCTTTTGCAGTTGGCAGTTCATCCTACTGCATTGCGAGACCCCATTATCTATGTATAATACTATAATGCACCTTGAATGTTGCAAGTTTTATCTAGCTAAACGAAGGAAAAATAACCTCAGTTGGAACCAACTTGAACTCAAAACTACATTACACGTTTTGAAGTTTTTCAAGCACAATACCCTCTTGTTTCTATCATGAAGTTTTGAAAGTTCTCCTCAAATAGTCTTTTTGAGCTTTTTGGTTGTACAAAAGTCAAACTCTTTTAAGTACTTCTTACTTCTATTCATTGTTTTATTTACATTTACGCTCCTCATTTTCATCTTTTCCCAAATGATTTCTTCCTTTTGATCAATCAACACTTAGCTACATCTTGCTTTTACATGTTTACTCTGAGAAAACTAAATTGATTCAACTATGTTCGCTTCGAAAGGTGCAATTGAGCTTTCAATATTATCAGAATATTATGGTCGTGAAATTGCAGCCTATGACATCCAAACTACCCGCTGTGATCTGTATGGTCAGGTTAGTAGAATTCACAATTTGGTTATATACTGTTTTTAACTTCCTTCTTTGGATAGCAATATTTATCATGGTATCTATTGAATGATGGAACAGTCAAAAGGGTATGGAGAACGAGTGATGCTGCTTTATGATGGTCTGCACTATGATGCATTAGCTGTAAGTTTTTGCTATGGAAGTTCAATGATATTGTTGTTCAATGCGTATATATATTTATTATATATTTATGCTTCAATTAGATGTCTCCTTCCGACAATGCTCCTCCTGATTTTGATCAGACCGTTTTCACTGTAAATTCTGATGGTACCATTGGGCCTGTGGAAGGCCTTGTTCTCAATCTGGTGAAGGATGCCCAGAGGTTAGAACCAGACTTCACTTTTTTTTTTATGAACTCTCACTCATAAATTTGCGCCTAGCTTCTGGTTATTTTTGGAGCTTGCTTTCTTGTTGATATATGGTGATTGGTGACACTGTATAGACATGATGAGGGTTTTATTGTTGTCTTGATATTTGACATCCCTGATTTTACAGTACCTGAATGCTTGTGAAGTGAACCAGAAAAATTCTACATCACTCTGATAGGAAATACTTGAGTTTGCGAGTAACTCTAAGGAGAATACTTGAGTTCGCAAGCAAACCCATCACTAATTGGTGAAAATAGTGAGAATAATGCAAAATCTTGATGAAATCAGCCCCAAAACGATGGATTGCAATAAGAGAATCAAAGCCAAACAAACATGAAAACAAGATACAAGTGATCCATGATTCGAGAGGAAGATCGTCTCTCCCAAATCTCTAGATATGGTAGCTAGAGCCCAAGATGCCAAAGAACTTCAATAGAAATCAAATCAAGCATGCCCTAACCCTAAAACACCTCATGTTATTTAATATATAAACTTTCCAAATATATATATATATATATAAAAACTTTCCAAATCAATTTTCCCTCCCAAGCCCTAGCCGCCCCCTCCTTTTCAAATTTGAACTCAATTGGAATAGTGGGACCCACTATTGTGGGCGGCAAACATAGAGGAGGCGGGACTAGCCCGCCTCCTATACAGAAGAACCGGCCCTGGATGTGGCGGTTGGGCTGATTTAGGAGGAACCGGCCTCTCACACTCCCTTGCTGCTTATTTTTTTGCAAGAACCAAGAGTATGTGACAGTTAGAATTTTCTTAAACTTCCATGACTAGGCTTTTTTAAATGCTTTTGTGTTTATCAGAAGTTCTTTGAGTGCTCATTTGTTTGGTTAAAGTTGGAAATCATGAAAACAATGAAGTTTTTTAAATTAATCATTTCTTTGGATGCAATTAGAAATAACGGTGATTTCAAACTCTACGAACGTTCTTGGAATCCTTTCAAAAGTGAGTCAGTGGAGACCAATTGTTACTTCTAAGACTTGTTTTTTCATTTACAAGCAGCTAAATAATCTTTGAATAAAATCCACTGTCATCACCATGAGCTGCAGTGAAGACCAAGAATTAGGGTGGGGAACTGGGGATCAAAATTGGGCCGTATTAGCTAGTGGAGATGCCTATAAAGACAACTGGATAAGAGTAGCATCGAAGTACATGAATGAAATTTGATAGGCTAGCAATAGTATGGAGAGAAGGTCTGCAAATAAATTTTTCGCATAATAGTTTTAAGGCCTCATGCAACACATATAACGAATGAATGAGAATGAAGATTTGAAAGCCTACATCATATAAGTGGAAAAAGGTTAATTATGATTATGGCTTCGTTTGGGATGGCTTTTTTACTGTTTCTTAAAGCATTTTTTTAATATAAAAATTTTATATCTTGTACTATAAAGTTGCTTTAAGAAACAGTAATAAAGTCGTCTCAAATGAAACCTATAATGATGATTTATAATGCACCAAAAATTCACTCAACCACATGATGTGGCTAAGGAGTCAACTAATTTTGAACATGACTTAACTATGATTGAGCTGCAAATTACATGAACTAGTTCTCAGCCAAAATCAGTTCCAATACTGGAGCAGTGGGGGGTTTAAGTTGAGCTTTGAGTTTTTAGTGGTCAAATTGATTTACACGCAAAAAAAAAAAAAAAAAAACTATTATTTCTGCATCATTATATTTTCTCTATTTGATGTGAAGTTAAATCCAATAGTATGACACATCTAACACTACTATCATGGTTAATAATGTTTTCTATTCACTATTGCCAAGAAAAAGAAAACATGAACTTATGTTTCGTTTGAGATAACTTTCTTACTGCTTATGAAGCAGCTTTTTTAACAAAAAATTCAAATTCAGAATTTTTTATGTTAAAAAACTGTTTCATAAAACAGTAAGAAAAATGTCCCAATTGAAACCTTAGACATCTCACAAGTCGAAACATCAATCCATTTGCATTTTGAAATGCCATCAATTACAATTTTTGTTTGTTCTGTGATCTTCAGCTAACTAAAGTTGCTGCATTTCAGAAAGAGAAGATTCACTGATACAGCAAACTTCACCTTGCGCTGTGGAGTATGCCAAATTGGTTTCGTTGGTTCAAAGGTTCCACTGATACTCCAAAGTTTCTTCTCCCTCTCTTAATTCTTTGAAGATTCTTAGTTCATAAATATAATTGAAATGCAGGAGGCTGTTCAGCATGCACAAGCAACTGGGCATATAAACTTTCAAGAGTACAATTGAGCGCCATGGCAACCTTCTCCTTGGTGATTTATCTCTACTGATTGAAATAAAATAGAATTTTAGGCCAATCATGGAACAGTTTACAACCATTTTTGGTAAGATTGTTGATGATTTTTTGTTTATTTTCTTCTATTGCTTGGTTTTAAAAGGATGATTCTAAAAAGAAATAAAAACACATTAAAAGTGAACAGAAATTATTCTTATTTTCAATAATCTTTCGCTGTACTGGCCTGGAGATCTTATGGAAAGAGGAATTCTTGTTTTCTTCTACAAATCATTTTCGCAGTCTGAGGCTTCGTCCCAGACGGATTTTTTACTTCTTCTTAAAACAGCTTTCTTAATTTTTTACTAGAAAGTTCCTTTAATAAGCAGTAAGAAAGTCGGCTTCGTTTGGGATAATTTTATTATTGTTTTATAAAGCAGTTTTTTAGTGTAAAATTTTTTTAAATTAAATTTTTTTGTTTTAAGACGTTTGAAAAAGAAGAAAAAAGTGATCCAAACGAAGCCTGAGTTTATAATTCTTCTGCTTGTGAAAAAGGTTAAAAAAATTTGGAGAGTTTTAAAACTTTTAAATTTATTTTATAATGAGTGCAATAAAAGTAATTGATTATTTATATATTATGTTTATTTCAAAATAAATTTAAGAAATTTTTATTCTGACCTAATTTTTATTATGAGAAAATATATTTTTTTTTAGAAATTGAAGAATTGAACAGAGTAAATAAAAATGATAAATTGAAGTAATTTTCACCCATCTGTTAATCTATTATGAGTATAAATTAGTTGGAAATATAATCTCTTTTTTATTTGATTAGAAGAAGCATTTAATAAAAAACTTGAATAATGTAGTTCAATTTTTAGTGTATAAGCACATATTCATAAAGAGAAATATCTATGGTGTTTTTTATTGGGGGGTTTATATATATACCAAATAGTTCAATTTTTATATTTATTTATACAATATTTTAATTTTTAAATCACATAAAAATATAATTAATATTATTTTTAAATAAAAATTTATTTTCATTTATATATTTTAATGTTATTCAAGCATGAAATTATATAAATGATAGATAGTTCACATATTTACATAATATCATTCAAATTTTATTTATTTATATAAACACATAAATCATACATTTTTAAAATTTCCATTAAAATTGAGTAGGGAGTTATAAATAGAAAATATAATTAT